AGCATGCCGAGTGGCAGTGGTAGTGGCAACCAGTGGCAGCCTGCCACTGGCTGCTACTTCCTCCCTCCCTCAACTCACCTGATTCACCCACATTCTCCTCCCACAATACTGTTTTGGCTTATATTCATATATACAGACATTATATATAAGTATCTACATGTTTTGTTCACCATAACTGTACAACTAAGTTGATATAGTTAGTTCAGGCACTAAGAGACGTCGCTACACACAGTCAGGTGGCGGCTGCTTCCCTCACACATTCAAGGTCAGACGCACTAAAATTTCACCCCCAACAATACTGTTTGTAGTGTTATTACCCTATATACAGACGTTATATATAAGTATCTACATGTTTTGTTCACCATAACTGTTCAACTAAGCCAGTATAATGCCCAAAGAGCATAGTGGCCACCTCTGCCAACATGACAAATCATGCAGATGTTGCCACACCCATCACCAGAATGGCTTCTTCCCCACACTCCTTTTGCTGTTATTACACTGTATATACACGTTATATATAAGTATCTAAATTCACGTTCACCATAACAAACCACTAAGTAGGTATGCTGAGTGGCAGTGGCAGCCCGCCACTGGCTGCCACTCCCTCCCTCCCTCACACTCCCTCCCTCCCTCACCTTACCTGACTCGCCACCATTCTCCTCCCACCATACTGTTTTTGCTTTTATATACAGACGTTATATACAAGTATCTGCATATTTTGTTTACCACAGCGAACAACTAAGCTGGTATACTGAGCGCAGACAGTAAAAGGTGGTCACACACAGTGAGCAGACAATGCTACCTCCCTCCCCACAAAGATTACTCCTCCCACTACAGCGCTAATTATCACAACAATCCTGTTATTATCAGAATCCTGGTCATTTTTATCACAGGGGTCTTCTGTAATAATATCATCGCTAAATAATAGCATAAACATGTAGGGTTGCCAGGGAGCCTCCGGGGCTCACTCAGAAAATGGCGTTTCATTACATTAAACGCTGGTTTTCTGTGGGAAGCCCCTACAGCTCCCTGGAGCTTCATACCCAAAGAGAAGGAAAAGAAAGGGCTGACCCGGGAGGCGGCCACCACAAACTCCGAAACGTGAAGCCAAGACAACAAGCTGCAACCTGCGACCCAAGGCAACAAGAACGCACAGGAGCAGACACAAGCATAAAGAATGGGCGTCCAAGAACCTATGCGACCCTCAAATCCTTGCGCCCGAAATGAGCCCTATACGTCACCAACACAGCAGCGAAAGCTGCAAACGTCCGAACAGCACGGGCGCAAGGACAGACCGCAGGCTGGAAGACTTCAAAACTCTGCGGACGACCTGGGAGACCCGAGCCCTGAAACGGGGAACGAGGGGAACCGAATCAATCCAGAGCGCATCCCGAGACATGGTACGCAGGTAACGGCAAAAAAGCGCAACCGGACAACACAGGGCACACCCCTGGCCGAACCAATCAAGCATCAGTAACCCAAGGACCCCTTCGGAAAGCAGCCGTCACAACCGTTGCCAGAAGGACTGAGAAAGGCTGCAAACGTACAAACCTACCACCAGTACCAAAGAGCAGAAACCTGAACCGAAGGGGCTACCACAAACTACGAAGATAAGAGGGCACCCTGGTCAAGGACCAGGACAGCTCAGGCGACGCATGAGCAGGCCGGAGGTGAAACAAAACACGAGAAAGCGTACGGAATGAAGCAAATGTGACGTCCACCCCAAACGCAAGCCGGAGCGGCTCCACCAGCGCCGCACAAAACGAGGCGACAGTAAGAAACATCAAATAACTGTAGTCCTGAAAACCCAAGAAAAGACAAAACAGCCCGATGCGAAAGAGAAGACAACCTACGAAGAGCAAGAAAAAGGTGCCTAGAAACACCAGGAACGTCATACTGTCGCCGAGACGAAGCTCACAGGTGAGACCCTGTCAACAAAGAGGAGGCGGAGCCGCGGGGAAATGCCCCGGGTTCGGACACCTATCAAGCAGCGTCTAAAAATAAAGCTGGGCCGGCAACCAAGGAACCATAAGGACTACTCTCTTGGGAATGGGCTCCAACTGAGCCAGAACCCAAAGCAACAGCTGGACTGGGAGAATCCAGCAAACGAGCCACTCGAAGGGACCAACCCCAAAGACCAAACACCTAAGAGAAACCCTGTGGTTCTGGCAAAGAACCACCAGAGACCAGTCTGAATGGAGCTGAATGGTAGAGCACCCAGTGACCCGAACCCTCCGAAGCGCAAACCAGACAGCCAAGAACTCCCGAACTGTGCTGTGAGCCCGACGGATGGACAGACCCCACCATCCCCAGCTGACCTGATGAGCACTGGTCACAAAGCCCCAGCTGAGAGATGACCCGTCCGTGAACACATCGAGCGAAGGCTCAGGGAGGTGCCAAGGCACGGAACCCCGAAAACCCCAAAGAGGAAGCTGGTGACGCAGCACCAACACAAGATCCCCAGAGGAACGAACCCAACGATTGCAAGAGCGGCGGAAGGGGAGTCTCCGAAGGAACCAAACAGACGCCGAAGCCAAACCCAACCCTGCAGGCAGACCAGCACGTCGAAGTTCAGACTCCTGCACAACTGCTCGAGCAACCTCTGAGCAACCCGGGACCCCCTCATGAACAGCCCAAGGCGAGACCACAGCCGCAGCAACACTTCTGGAGGGAAAGACAAGGAACGGCCCATATGCCCTAAACAAGACCCAGCCAGGTCCAAACCCAGGTCAGAAACAGATGGAACGGCCTCCAGATCACCAGGAAACCAAACCCGGCGATCTGGAAAGAACCACACCCCCTGGCAAGCAGACAAGCGGACCGACTGGGAGGTCACACCAGCCAGTCGTCGAGGTAGGCCAGATACCGAATCCCAAGCAGACTCAGACAGGGCACCAACATCTGGTAAAGATGCGTAAATACACCAAGTGCCAATTACAAACTAGGAAAGGCAACAAAAGTGGCAAGCCTGAAGCCCCACCACCACCTGTGCCAGTCCCGGAAAACTGGAGAGGAACGTGCCAAGAATTGACCTGGAGGTCCAGGGCCACCATCCAGGCACCCGGCCCCAACTGAAGCCAGACAGGAGACAACAGTCCTCCGATGAGGGCCCGTGGGGATTCCCAGGGTCCTGAGACAGAATCACGCTCAGGGAAGCCCAGGCAGGGTACTGCTAACCGACGCCCAAGTCTACCAAACAACCTTCTAAGAACTGAACCCCCCAGGACATGTATACTCAAGGTGACCTAGCAGGGGGAACCACCAGAAGAAGGAAGAGTACTCAGTACACAGGGGGCAAGAAAAAAGGCAGACCGCCTCCACCAGGCAGACAAACAAACAGAAAAAGGAAACCTCACAAGAGGACAGTGTACCCAGGCGAAAGAGAGTCGACCACCATGATTAGTGAAAACAAGCTGCGCAGTACCCTGCACCCCTACCAGTGCAAACTGGTAGGGGTGCCCTCACCCTAAGGCAAACAAGGGAGACAGAATACCCTAGCACACAAAGGGCGGCCAAAAACCAAGCAGTAAACGGCCTAGCAGAGGCAGAACCCAAGGAATTTGGGGAAGGTAACCCCAAGCCTCAAGAGCAGTACTTACAGGGCACCTAGGGAAGGAAACCCCTAGGCGCATGCAGCCCGAGTACTGGGGAATCACTCCCGGCTCATGCACCACCTAGAAGACAGTCACCATACTCTAGGTACAATGCTGAAACAACCACTGGAGCCGGAGCACATGACCGTTGCTTATAGCATCAGCCTCAGAACTGAAGGATGGATAACCAGGTGAGGTTCTGGGGCTCCCCCTTTCCCTTCCTGGGGAGGGGGGGGGGGCTGCGCAGCCAGTGGCGCGGCGACATGTGATGTTATGTTCATTTGCTCGTTTCTTTTTGGGGAGTTCTATCCACTTGTTCGGCTTTTGGTAGCAATTTTCACCAGAATAGGGGTTTGTTTTGGGACGCTTACCTTTCTGGGTGCTTGACCTGGTCGATGGCAGACATAGAATGCTTCCAACCAAACGGGGGTTTCTATAGGCCATTGCTCCCCATGCCTCTCTGAGGGGGCCAGGTTCTGTCTCGTGGTCCCCCAGTAGACCCATAGAACTCCATACACATGACTGATGCCAAAGCATATCAGCCTGGATAAGCTCCAGGGAGCTGAAGGGGCTCCCCCAGAAATATGATTTTTTCATGTTCTACATTCAGCACAACATTATAATGAGTAAATATATCATATTTATTCATTACTAATGTAATGCCAGGAAGCTTTGTGTAGCTTTGAGTAGCTTTGGGTAATTAGACAGACCCATTATTTCTATATGATAGTTCACTATAATATCTAATTTTGCCAACTTGTTATGTAGACTGCTTATATCAATGCCTTCTAAATTAAAATCCCCAAAATCTAGCTCTTTTATTTTTCTTCTTGCCAGCGGCCATCTTGAATGTTGTCGTCTGCACTGTTAACACTAGGACAACTTTTTCTCATCCAATTTTTTCACTTCACTTGGCACATTTGTGTTATCTCACCTATTTTTCCAAAGCGCTACACCTACATGTTCCTTGGTTCCTTGGGTTCTTTTCCTTCCACTCACTATTATCAATCTGTTCTATAATACTTAGGAATTTTGAAATATCCTGGAGCTCTTCAGATGCAGGTGTTGACACAAGGGGTTTCACACCCCTTTGTGGCCTGCTTGACAAGTTAAAACATGAATGTCTCCAGAATGAGGTTTACAAATCTGCCTAAAAGAACTCCGTAATTGATGGCACCTAATAGTTTGGCACTATATCAGCATTGTAGTTTCAGAGGAACCATATGGGGCTCCTTCCAGAAAGACAAGTAATTATCATACCTAGAAGAGATCTTTAAGCATAAATGTTCAATACACTCAGGGAATAGATCCTAGAAACATGTATAATCCCCTTATCTCTAAAAACTGTGGACATAGACCAGTGAGATGATGCAAGGCAGAAGAAGAAGAGATGCACCAGCACAGTACCTGTATCCCTCATGTACACACTCCCACTTCTGGTCTTCCTGACATGGGGAGCGATATTCTTCACTCTTGCAAATTATTTCCAGACGTTCACGCTTTGAGGTGTAGAGACCCCCATTTACACCTGAGCCAATTAATCCCTGAGCACGCAACTGCCGCCGTTCTTCACGTAACTTGAGAGCATCTTCTTCACGATGACGTCCTGCACTGCAGAAAGATAGCAGGTACAAATGTTTAATAACTTAATACCTTAGTAAAAGGCCTATGGGTTGACTTCAAAGCATTATTTGAAAGTTTTAATTTACTGCAGAAAGATACCATATTTAAAAACATACGCTAAGGTTGAGATTAGGGTTCATAATCTGAATGTTTCAATGCATTTTTCCTGTTAAAACTTTAAATATTACCTGTCTGCATATCCATATTATAACCTATTAATCTACCCAAATGAGCAAACCAACTACTCAGTATGGAGAAGTGAGAGAACTGAAGCTTATACACTGTTAAGTGAGATGCAGATGTAAGGAAGCCTGTAGGTTTAACATATCTTACACCCTCACTCCACAAAAGGTCAATACATCCAATTCATCCCACAACCCCTGACGAAAAGTATATACAGTGGCCCCTCGATTAACGAGTTTAATCCGTTCTGGCACCTAGCTCGTCATGTGGAAAACTTGTCTTGCAAAACAACAACAAAACTGTCGTCGGAGGTGTCCGAGAACCAGCGGGAACACTCATTAATTGAGCGAAAGCTTGTCAGTCGATACATATTTTCTGCGATTGGCTTGCTCGTTATTCGAAATGCTCGTAACTGGAGCCGCTCGTCACTCGAGGTTCCACTGTACCTCTAATTTCTCCCCACTAACAAACCGAAAAAAGTGCAAAGACATGCAATAAAATGATTTTCGGAACTGAAACGCAAGTGCTAGTAGGAAAGGTTAGAGGTGTTAAGCATGCCAAAGCTAGAAGGTAGAGGAAAAAAAAGAGGTGATATGATCAATACATACAAAATAATAATGGGAATCGACGAAAGTGATAAAGAAGAATACTTGAAACCTTCAACTTCAAGAACAATGGGTCACAGACTTAAGCTATGGAAATAAAGCTGCCCAAAAAAAACATTGAATGTAATGAAATGCCAGTTTCTGGGTGAGCCCCAGAGGGTCCCTTGAAGCTATCATCACTGACTAAGTGCCATATTATCAATCATCATCAGTTGCAGAGATCTTTGTGCCTACCGGGAACCAGGAGTCAGAACCTGGCTTCCTCAGAGAGGTGCAGGGAACGATGAGCCTAACGATTACTTTACATTTAAAGTGTATCATCTTTGCCATCATTAGGAATGGCACCAAGAAAGATATATGAATCAAAAGAAACCACTGCCTGGTTTAAAGTTGTGATCAAAGCATCCATAATGTCAAAAGAATTCCCCCAATAACAAATGAAACAACAAAACTAAGTGGATACTAGTCCTCCGCTAGTTTCCTCCCACCTTTCCCCTCGCTGGGGAAAGGGGAGAGAGAGGAGCCTGTGCGGAGCACCCGAGCCGACTGGCTTCAGTTATTTACTGAGAAATACACCATCAACCTGGGGAGGAAAGGTGTCAGGGAGCCTTCGGGGCTCACCCCATAAACTCGTGTTTCATTACATTCAACACTGGTTTTCTGAGGGGAATCCCATCGGCTCTCTGAAGCTAACTACCCACAGAGAAAGACAAGACGGGAACTTACCAGGAAGGCAGGAGCACTTCCTGGTAAACAGGCAGGCATCAACTTAAAAGTCGAGACTGGAGGCCGCAACAGATACACCAAAGCAATACAAGGCCACAGAGGACCTGGAATGTTCACAAGATATCGAGTGGCCAGAACCCTGTTAGACCTCTAAAACTCCCGTGCCCTAACATCTGTCCAAGACATATTACCAAAATCGGCCAACAAGGCAGCATACTTGCGAAGATCATGAGTATGAGGGTAGACTGCAAGCTGGTTAGCTGTAATGACACTGCAGACAACTTAAGAAACACAAGCTCTGGAAAAGGGAACCAGAGAAACTGGATCAACTCACAATAAGTCCACCGAAACAGAACCAGTGGCTCGAAGGTAGCTACGTAAACACCCCACCGGACAAAGCACATGATAGACCCCTGGCTGAACCAACTAAGCTACCACAACCAAAAGACCCTTCTAAAAGCCCACCATCTCATTCTTCACCAAAAAAGAAGTTGTAGGCTGCAAAAAAAATGACCCCCAGGATCAAAAGAAAAAAATCCCTGGTGCCAGTGGAGAGCACGAAGCTTACCCACCCGACAGTAGGAAGCCTAGGAAATAAAAATCAAAGACTTCCAAAAACAATCCCTGACCCAAGGAACCACAATAAACTGGGGGGGGAAGAAAGAAAAGTAAGAACCACGGTCCAAAGACCAGGCAGGCTCAGGCGGCACAGGAGCAGGCTGGAGGTAAAACAAATCTTTTATTGTTAAAATCTTTCAATTTTTATAGAAAGCTTGCAAAATGCCAATGCCACATTATAAGAAGCCACAGTATTAGGCATTAGATGCCTATCGAGGAAAAGCCAAGAAAGAAAGGACAGAACAACATGGGCTCAAACAGAAGGAAAACGATAAAGAGAGAGAGAAAATGATGAAAAGACCACCAAGAAACCTCATACAGTACTATCGATGAGAAGACCGCAGGTCTTCTCATCGATAGTACAGGTTTGATGGAACTATCAAATTCCGCAGGTTTGATATTTTCACTATCAAACCAGCCCCTGATCACCATACAAAAGGGAATAAAGATGTGGCATGAATTCTAGATGCGAAAAGCAGAAGAAAAGCGTTCGAGCAGTGCCTGGAACCAAGGCTGAACACAACAAACCAGAAGAATTACTTTTCCTTTGTACAACTCCAGCAGTGCCAGCACCTGGAGTAATAGCCAGAGCAGGTAAAGAGGTAAATGAACCCCCACCTCAACCAGTCCAGCTGAAAGGCATCCACCGTGAGGGCATCAGAGTCGGGGAATGGCACCACGTAAAGAGGAAGACTCCGAGACCATGCAGTCATGAAGAGGTCGAAGTCCGGGGACCCGAATGTTTGACAGGCAAAAGGAAAGAATCGGCATCGATGGTCCATTCAGTGGACACAGGAATGAAGCGAGACAGACCGTTGGTTAAAACTTTGTACACTCCCTGAATGTGAATGGCATGGAGATGTAAACCCCGAGAACTCAGCAGAAGAGCTACCTGAAGCGACCAGCCCCACAGAGCTACAGACCAAGGAGACCCTCCCCAGTTGAGACAATGAACCACGAGGGAACAGTCCGCATGGAGCCAGATCACCAAGCCCTGTGGAATCCAAACTCTTCGAACCACCTGCCACACCACTGCAAACGCCTGCACTATGCTATGAGCTCGATGAAGAGAACATCAACCCTAGATGGATTGGTAAGCCCTGATCACAAAGCCCCAACCTACAGTCGAGGCATCCATGAACACAGTGGCTCGAAGGTAGCTACGTGAATTCTGCCTCCCTCCTCGAGTGAGGGAGGAAGGCACCATGGCACTGAACCCCATAAAACCTGAAGAAGCAGCCGGTGATGCAACTACTGGTGAAGACAGACTGTCCGATGCATAAAGTAGAAGAATAGTAGTTAAAAGTGCCCACAAAGTGGATATGCAGCTGGTGCCTCTATAGCATTGCTGAGTAATACATAATAAAATAATACAGTAATGAGTATGTTATTATGCTCTATTTTGGTATACATCATTCAAATACATTGTCCAATGGTAATACCTGTTACTTTCACCAATGTCCACAAATTTCATTTTTAGGGCTCTTCGGCGTTATTTGCGCGCCACTGCCTCGGTTTCCCTTCTTTCCTGTTCCAGGGCTCGGGTCTCCCAGGTCATCCGCAGGGTTATTAAGTCTAGCCAGCCTGCGATCTATCCTCGTACCTAAATTTGCTGCTTCAGCTGATGTTTTTGGTAATACATATTGGGCTGACATTCGGGCGAAAGGATGTTGGAGGTCGAACAAGGACCTACTCGAGTTGAGGTGCGATTGGCGGCCGCCTCCCGGATATGTCCCTCTTTTACTCTTCTGTGGCTAAGTAGCTCTGAGGAGTTGGAGGAGCTCTTCACTGAAAACCAGCTTGGTTTTCATGTGAGAGAAACATGTGGTTTTCATTAATGTAAATCATTTTCATGGGTTTTCATGATCCCAGAAAATGGCGTTTCATTACATTCAACGCTATTTTTTTTGTTAATATTTTTGGGGGTGTGGAACGGATTAATTCAATTTACATTATTTCTCATAAGAAATATTTTTCGGTTTTCAAATTTTCGGTTGTTGAACCATCTCTGGGAATGGATGAAATTCGAAAATGGAGGTATTACTGTAATTGATTGTTTTTCATCCCTACAAGGGTCATGAACATCACCACTACAGACTGTTTGATGGATTGATGAGTGTCTTACCTTTCAACTAGGAAGCTATCCCTCCAGGAAGTGGCTTCTGGTCCATCTTCTTTATTACCGGTAAGTACAGGCAGGAGCGAGCGGCCGTCCATGTGTGATGGAGGTTTAATTCCTGCGATGTCCAGGAAAGTCGGGGCCAGGTCCACATTCAGAGCAATATTATCAACTCTGAAATATTCCACAATCAGCTGGTATTGTGCCATTATTACTGACTTACATCTAATGTAATTAACACAAGTTTGTATAACACATATAATGATCTGGTCAACAGTTTAAGCACTAATATTAAATGATTAACCACTGTACTGCACTACTCATGATATCATGGGGAAGGAAGTGTGCTACCTTACGTATCATGTTTGTTAGTACATCATGAGATTCAAAATTTCAATTTTTCAAACTTCAGGTTCAATTTTTGAGTACAGCGATGATTCACTCATTTTATTATATAAATATATCACACTACACACTATTGAATAATATTACAGCAAAAAAACTACGAAAAATCAATCGGAGACACTGAAATAATTAGGTAATTATCTCTTTGTGGCAACTCCGGCCTGACAGCTGGCGAGCAACAGACCGTCTGGGACGCACACTGAGTCAGCGCCTGTTTTTTGCTAGACTTCCCCACCCTATAGCAGGCAATATATGCCACTTACTATTTTTTTATTATTTTTCCCATGATCAATAAACACAAATTAACAGGTTTAGAAGAAAAAATCATTTTTTTTTTTGGTATGTGCCTGTGGGTGACACATGCTAAATAGCCCGGCGCCATACAAGGGTTAAATGTAAAGTGCTCATAGGCCATTGCTCCCTGCTCCTCTCTGAGGGGGTCAGGCTCTGGCTCGTGGTCCCTGGTAGGCATAAGGACTCCCGTGACTGGTGACCCCAAACTAAGCACTATGCAGGCGATGAGTCCAATAACGTGGCTGAAGTATGTTGACCAGACCACACACTAGAAATTGAAGGGATGACCGTTTCGGTCCGTCCTGGACCATTCTCAAGTCGATTGTCTAATATAGCACTATATCGTTCAGACAGCTTCAGGGAACTAATGGGGCTCCCCACAGAAACATCAGTGTTATCCCACAAAACCCAATGTACCTTCTAGTATAAAATAAAAAGAAATAAAAAAATATCTAGCAGGTAGTACTTACTGTCTTCCAGGTTGGATGCCTGGACCCCTCACCAGGAATGGAACTTTGATGTCAAACTCAAAAGGCATGGATTTTCCTTTGACAAGGCCAAACTGTCCCAAATGGTAGCCGTGGTCGCTGGTATAGAAGATGTACGTGTTGTTTAATTCCCCAATGGCATCGAGTGTGTTCACCACCTTAAACAATAACACCTATCTTGATAATTTGTCACAGTACTACATAATCTTTTAATATACTGTATTACTACATAAAATCTTCATCTCATTATTATTATAACAAAGCAGAAATTTATTAAAATAAAAAAGTGTGAAAATAGGAGTTTTTACTTACAAGAGTTTCCTCATATACAACTGCAGTAGTTAAAAGAGCTCTTGTGAGCATAATATCCTACAACCTGTGGTAGTTTTCTCAACAACTTTTTCAGCAATTATTAAAGAATAACCAAAGCAATCTATGACAACACAAGGACCCTCCTTTTATGGTTTTGCAGTCAATTACCCAAAAAATATAACACACAGAAGTTACCTTTTTGGAGCACCTACCTTGGCAACTGATTCATCTATGGTCTGAAGTGTCTGAAGTCTCTTAGTCATAAGCAAATCAGTAAATTTTAGCTCAATGTCATGCATGCGACCAGTGAACTGCAGCAGCCACTGTTTGTCAGGGTTGGGAGCATAGTTGTAGGCCATTGTGCTGCAAAAATCATTCATCAATAACTTATGTGATTATAGCATAGACCACTATATTAATTATCTGCTATACACTATGCTGCAAAGTATCAGTCACCATCATCACTACAAATGATGAGATTTGGTCACTGTACTTTATGCCATAAATCATTAAGTCACATATCATACATCATCACCATGGCAACTGTCTACTACATGGGGATTACAAGATACATTATTTTACAATACAGTATAATACTAATAAAGTTCATTTAATAGTTATTATCAATGAGATAATTTTTAAAATAGGCCACAAATGTGAATCCTATTTCTAATTACAGTACAGTGTGTTCTCACTTGGATGAACTATATGGGGCAAAGCCTATTCGTTCCAGTGCAGAATTTGTTCCATGCATCTGACCCCCAACAACCTTCAATATTTTTTTTTTATGCGCTGCTTTATTATAATATTTTTCATGCCCTTTAAGTGTCAATAATAATCTGCCAGCTCTTCATCAGCAGTCACTTCTCTGACTCCATCCCCACCACTGACACCATCTCCCACCACTGACACCATCTATGGGGTGTATTGAGGCAGCAGCGAGAAGGCCAGGCTTAGAGGCGTCTCATTCAACACGCCCGCCAAAAAAAAAAAAAAAAAGGCTAACTGAATTCCTAACCCTCCCCCCATCACCACTGAGACATCCATCTATTATGCATTCTTCATTCTGACTATGGAATATGATAGAGCGATGTGTTACAAGCCACTGAAATGCTAAAAATTTTCTCTCCTAATTTTGTGAAAAGCATCAAGTGAATATAGTACTAGGCGGCCATGTGGTGTGGAGTCAGCAGAGAGAGGGCAGACTGGGCGGACACATCTCCACTCACACCACCTTCCCTGTGACGCGTTCCACCACCCCTCTAATACACCCTCACCACTGACACCACCATTTAGTATTATGAATTCTTCATTTTGACTATGGAATATGATAGAGCAATGTGTTACAATCAACTTAAATGGTAACATTTTCTCAGCTAATTTGGAGAAAAGCAGTGTGAGAACTCTCGAAGTGGAAGCATGGAGGCGCTAGCCACGTGTTGCCAACTAACTGACCCCACCTGCCTCCACTGACAACAACGTCCACCATTGACACCACCTGCCTCCCCTGACAACACCTGATCACCTACCTTTCCTGACAACACCTGATCACCTGCCTCCCCTGACAACACCTGACCACCTGCCTCCCCTGACACCGCCTGCCTCCTCTGACAACACCTGACCACTTGCCTCCCCTGACATCTGACACCACCTGCCTCCCCTGCCACCACCTGTCTCCCCTGACACCATCTGACACCACCTGACACCATCTGTCTCCCCTGACACCACCTGCCCCCCCTAACACCACCTGTCTCTCCTGACAACATCTGACACCACCTGCCTCCCCTGATACCACCTGATACCACCTGCCTCCCCTAATACCACCTGCATCCCCTGACACCACATGACACCACCTGCCTCCCCTGACACCACCTGTCTCTCCTAACAATATCTGACACCACCTGTCTCCCCTGACAACATCTGACACCACCTGTCTCTCCTAACAACATCTGACATCACCTGCCTCCCCTGACACCACCTGCCTCCCCAGACAACATCTATCAATGACACCACCAGGTCTTCTCTGACAACCCCAATGAGAATAACTTCCACCACTTGCCTCCTGACAATAAACCCACAACTACTGACACCACTTGACCCCAGACTCAAACCCTCACCAATGATGCAACCTGCCTCCCCGACACTATTTCATCATCCTTCAACCATTTCTCACTGGAAACAATGAGTAGGCAAAATATAATTCTGTACAACTGTTTACACTTTGGTGAATCATAGTTGATGATAGTGACTGTCATCAACTATGACGGCTCGGTGTCGGTGATCGCTTAGATGAACTATCCTCACTTAAGCAAACATTTGTATTTTCCACTGAACATTTAGAACCGAATTCAATTTGTTCGGATCTTCCAGGAATTTGCTAGAGCGAGGTTCGTTAGAGTGAGTTACTGTACTTGTGGTCAGTAGCATTGAAGAAGCGGTGAGCATGCTCTGGGGCGGAGTCTTCTGGTCCATGAGGCGCCGGATAGCTGAGCACCATCATCATTGGTGGAGACGAGTCCAGGGCCTTGTTCTTCTCCAGGAACTGAATGCCCTCATTGGTAATCACATGTGGATAGTAATCCTGTGAAAGGGGAACATATTTATATAATTTATATATTATGGTACTGTTAGGGTAAATGGGAGATGTTATAAGAAACAGAAACTGCATTTACACCTGTGTCTCTTTAGAAGTCATACTGCCAAATAATCAGCACCACTGAGTTCTTTGTTATGTGGACCAGAGAAGAATTAAACCTTTAGTCGAAAAAAAATAAGAGGAAGAGGTGGTTAGATTACCAGTGATTGGGCTGTTCTTACTTATTACATGGAGCTAGAAGATCCAGGGACACAAACTAAGTACCCTTGACTATCAGATAAAAAAAAAAAGCATCTGAATGTTGGAAAGGAAAAGAACTTGAGGAAGCCTAAAATAGTTTGAAAATCATTGCCCTTGCAATCCCTACAAGGGGGGGGCCAAGAACAAACAGGACACCAACTACAACAGAGGCATAGTCACAACCCTTTCCATGACCAGCAAACAGGCAAAGGAAGGAAGTGTATAAACAGGAAGTGTATCAGCTAGGAAAACCCTTAACCATGAGGCCAAGGAGCAATGAAGCCCATCAACACAAAAGGCAATAGGTGTCTAGGAATTTAGAGGAGTAGCTAAACAATGTCTCTCGCCTGATGGCCACATAAATGACATTGTTCAAGGAGCTTATGCTGCGCTTTCCAACTTCAGAATAGCTTTTAAATACATGGATGGTGAAATACTAAAGAAATGTTTCACAACTTTTGTGAGCCCAAAACTGGAATATGCAGCAGTTATATGGTGTCCATATCTCGAGAAGCACTGCAAGAAAATGGAAAGGTGCAAACACATGTTACCAATGGCTTCCAGAACTGAAATACAAGCACTATGAGGAGAGGCCAGCAGTGTTAAATTTGCCAAAGCTGAAGGACAGAAGAAAAAGAGAGGCAAGATGTAGAAAATAACAACAGAAATTGACAAAATTAACAAAGAGGAACTCTTAAAACCTGCAACTTCAAGAACAAGAGGTTACATATTGAAACTAAGGAAACAAAGATGCTGTAAAATACTAGAAAGTTTTCCTCTGCAAATGGAGTGGTAGACGGTTGGAACTAGTTAGGCGAGAAGGTGGTTCATGCTGTTATGACCAGGTTTGGTATTTGTGAGGAAACAATGAATATTTTGAGGAACCAAATAATACACCTACGGGGCTGCTGTAGTATGATAAATTTATACCATATAAGTTACTGGCTAATTCTAAGAGATGTAAGTCTGTAAAAATAGATAATTATTAACCCTTAACTACTGCACTGCTCTGCATTAACCTCTGTGATGTGCTTCGTTTATTGGAACATTCCCCCTTTGCGCTGAAAATTAAGTGTTCACAAAATTTTTGTTGATCTTTGTAAAATGATAAATTCCCTTCCCTGAACATTTACATGTAAAAAAAAAAAAAGACTAAACAATTCTGTTTACTTTGGCTGTAGGGACGTGGAGAGGGAATGTTTGACATGAGAAAGGAAGGGGGGAGTGCAAGCAGAGGAAGGTACAAGGAGCGAATGTGTAGAAGGATAGAGGAAGTTAAGACGGGACAAGTGAGGTTAGGACAAGACAAGGTACGTAGATGGTATCCGGAGCCTCACAACTGGGACACTAATGCATCAGACTCCACAGAAGTGCCAGCAACACAACGGGAGGAAGACCCAGGAAGGGCGTGACGACAACATATGGGAGAACGCAAAGTAGGAGGCCCATCAGGCAAGGTGGCAGGGCGCTTGGAAATCAGGACAACAGAGGATTGCTTCCGCTTAGTACCAGGGGCAGAGATGTGCGGCAAGGCAACCTGGGAAGAGACATAGGGAAGGCTCGCCAAAGAGTTCCGAAGGGCATTGTCCAGCATCGATTCAAACGTATTGGAGATAGCAGAGGCAGCTGCGGGAAGATGGATGTCAACTGCAAAAGAAGCTGAGGAGAGGAGCGATGGGTCAGTCTCAGAAACGGGAAGGACGGACTGCGGAAAGATTTTTGCAACAAGGCGGACCAGCATCGTCTCGAGTGCATCCACAACATGAGTGACAATAGCGTCAACTTCAAAACATTCATTTGTTGGTGTGCTTTCCTTCCCTGTGGTGGTGGCCATCTTTGTTGTTGACATTCTGCTGTATTGCAAGAACAACTTTTCAAGTGCAGATTTTTCATTCATTTACACTTATTTCTTATCTCTTAGTTTCTTTTCAAATTCCCTACACCGTCAAGTATTCTGGGACATCACTTACAGCCCTCACCCTGCTCCCAACACTTAGTCAATTTGATTTATCCAGGAGCTTGCAGCAGTGTGACTCCTCATTGTGATGCAGAGACAAATCAGTGAAAAAAATTGTGCATGACACTGCATGTTGTCCTGTCTGACTATGGAAGATGCTGCATGTTGACCTGCCTCAACTGTGCATGACACTGCATGTTGTTCTGTCTGACTATGGAAGATGCTTCATGTTGACCTGCCTGATTATGTATGACACTGCATGTTGTCCTGCCTGACTATGGAAGATGCTGCATGTTGACCTGCCTGCTGTGCATTATGCTATATATTATCCTGTCTAACTGTGCATGATGCTGCATCAATTGTATAAGTCTGTGGTGTGTCCCCACCTGGATTATTGCATCCAGGCATGGAGATCTTATCTTCAGAAAGACAGAGATGCTCTGGAGAAAGTGCAACACCGGGCAACTAAAATCATACCAGAGCTTAGTCATCTCATATATCAGGAACGGTTAAGGGCCACAGGGCTAATAACATTAGAGACCAGGCATGACAGGGCATAACTGATAGAAACCTTCAAAATACCAAACAATTTGGACGATGTAGCTCCCGACACTTTCTTCAAAAGACCAGATGTAACACGAACAGGGAGCAATGGGTTCAAGCTCAACAAGTCACAATGTAGAAGAGAAATCAGGAGAGGCTTTTTCACCAATAGGGTTGCAAACCTGTGGAACTGCCTACCCACCAAAGCTGTAAACGTCAAAACTTTGCTGGGTTTTAAAATACAGCTAGAAAAGATCATCAGGGCAAATGTGGGGACCTTTGACAAGCCACCAGCTTCCTGTCCTCGTCGAGGCCACTAGTATTAGTGGCCTTCAGGTAAATATTGTCCTTCCTGACTGCATGATTCATGTTGATACACAGCCTTACTACATGATCCCACATGGTGTCGTGAATGTTGTCCTACCTGACTGTACATGATGCTGCATGTCATCCTGCCTGTGTGCAGTCCTGCTTATCATCTTGCCTTACTGTGCATGATCCTATACGTTATCCTGCCTGACTGTGTGTGATCTTGCTCTTAAGATATATCAGATCTTATCTTATGGAGCAGCCCAAGGGATTGCCTGAGAAAGAACTTGGGTGTTTTCAACATTTATCATAAGAAACATCAATCATGCTGAATCATAGCAAATGTGGAAAGCATGAATAAAAAAACTGAATACAAACAAAGCTTGAGCTCAACAAAAATTTATATTTATCATGTGGATGAACTTTCAACTCTGAACAAGAGGGAAAAAATTATTTAAAAACTGAACAAAAGTACTGTATCAAATAACATTAATTACTGACCTTCGGGTAATGGTCGCCATACTTGATGAAGTGTCCATTACGTTGGACAGTATAGTTATAGTAGCGAGAGTTCTTGATGAGTCCAGCCCATTCCTGCCATCCAGCCGGAATGTGTGAACCATTGTACTTGTTGAGATACTTCCCAAAGTAACCTGTCAATTGAACAGAAAAGCTATACAGCAGTAATGATCGATTTGAAATTTATCAGCATTTACATTTCAAACAGTTCTCATTATCATAAACTCTCGCTGTATCACAAAATATCCTAAAGCCACAGGTATTTACCTGTTTTGTCATGCACATTTTTAACTTTACTTCTATCAAAAAAGCTATGAGCATAACACGTGGCCCCAATCCCAAAATACTTTATACTCATGCAGTATCCACTCGATTTAACTGCCTATATGGGGAAGTTGGTAAGTGTCGATAATATTTAAAGTAACATATAGTGCTACCTCGGCTTACGAGCGCCCCTGGTTACGAGTTTTTCAAGTTATGAGCAGGATTTGCTCGGAAATTTTGTATCGGGACACAAGGGTTGCCTCAGGATACAAGGGTGTTGATACGGGTACGGGCTGACTAGTGCGTGGTGGAACGGCGATCGCCGCTCAGTTTACCAGTGCCTCGCAGCCAGTGACTATCCCACCTCAGTTCTTCACCGGGATTTACAGTGTTTTGTTGGATATTTGGTCATTTGAATATAAAAGTTGTTATTATATATCTCACAATGGGTCCCAAGAAAGCCAGAGGTAAGGTTCAACCTAAGAAAATAGTTGTGAGTAGAGGATGTCCCTTCCTCATTAAGAAAATGTATGAAGTATGGGAAGAACTGCAAAGTTTTGTTGAAAAACTCACCCAGATAAAGCTGTAGCAGGCCATTGCATTGACCTTTTAAATGACAATGTGATGTCTTACTACAGACAAGTGTTAAAATGTAGGAAAAAACAAGTGTCTTTAGACAGATTCTTAGTAAGACAAGCAAGCAGTGAGCAACAAGCAAGTCCTAGTGGTATGCAGGCAAAACGTGCCAGAGAGTGCACACCAGAGAAGTCATCAACTGCCTGATGTTATAATGGAAGAGGACTTCCCTTCCAAACAGTAACACCTCTCCTCCTCCCTCTTCCTCGCCATCTTCCATACGCCAACAGCAGTCATCAGCAAGGGTAAGTAATAACTTGAACATAGTTTTGCAGTGTAGATTTCAATGAATTAGGTATAAAATTTAGTTTGAAGTGAGGTTTTTGGGTAGTCAGGGACGGATTAATTCATTTCCCATTATTTCTTATGGGGAAATTAGCTTCGATTTACTAGTTTTCGGGTTACGAGCTGTCTCCAGGAACGAATTAAACTCTAAACTTAAACTAAACCGAGGTACCCCTGTACAGGCAAGATATATTTTGTACAGACAGCCACTTGGTCCACCACGCTAGTGCCTACTACCCTGTGACGTCACAGATTCACGGCACATTGTTTTGATTTGTCATGAGGCTGGAGTGTTCATTCTGTGACTTTGTTGGACATATCTGCGCAATCAAAGAACATCTGTGCACCATGTCGGCTCCAAATGCACTCATTGTGTCAGTGATGGCTGACTGGTGGGTGGATGGGCAGGCAGAGTGAGCAGGTGGGCAGGGAGGGAGAGGCTGAAATGTAGGCAGGCAGGCAGGGAGAGGCTGGGAGATCACACCATATCCTGGGTCATTAGCATATTTTTCAAGCCACATCCTGTCTTTCTAAATTTATGCCAGCATTTCTGTAAATCTTTCAATATTCATTTCTTCATCCTCCTAATTGCTGACAACAGACGTGAGGAGTTTTTTCCAGGAATTCTTCAAAGTCAATTCCTTTACTTCACTCTACACCTTGGCCCAGTTGTAGATGACTTCCTTGATGGAATAGTTCTTCAAATTCTTAAAGAGTTCTTTTAGCCCTGTTATCCACGCCGAGTTTCATATCTTTCTCAATAGGCAAACCCACCAAATCTTCGTTGAGCATCATTTTAGTGTACAACTTCTTCGTGGCACAGATAACTCCCTGATTCATAGGCTGGATGAGAGAGATTGTATTGGGAGTAAATGCCATGGCCGTAAGTGCCATCCACTCAATAAAACATCTAAACTATTGGGACCGACTAAAGAGCCTAAATGTGTATTCTCTTGAGCGCAGGCGGGAGAGATACATAATAATTTACACATGGAAAATAGTAGAGGGACTGGTCCCAAACCTGCACACAGAAATAACAGTACATGAGACCAGAAGGCATGGCAGGATGTGCAGAATACCCCCCCATTGAAGAGCAGAGGTACAACAGGTACTCTGAGAGAGAACCTATCAACATCAGAGCCCCGTGACTGTTCAACACGCCTCCGCTACACATAAGGGGCATAACTGGCCGACCCCTCGCAGTGTTCAAGAGGGAACTTGACAAACACCTCCAAAGGATACCTGATCAACCAGGCTGACTCATACGACAGGCTGCGAGCAGCTGCGTCCAACAGTCTGGTTGACCAGTCCAGCAACCAGGAGACCTGGTCGACAACTGGGCTGCGGGGTCACTAAGCCTCAGAATCACCTCAAGGTAACCTCAAGGTACACGTTATCTTGCCATCATGTAAGGTTAATGTGTCAATTCTAGGGTGAGCAGGCTCATTATCAAGCAACAGCAAGGCCCGAACTTCGCTTGGCCTCACTCTGAGTTTCTCAACTTGATGGTCATGAACTTCCTTGCAGAACACGTCATGAAACCAATAAAGAAAGATCTCCTGTGTAAACGATACATTCTTTGAGTTATAATATTTCACAGACAGTCTGTCCAAGCAATGTGGCAGGGCTCTTGGTTTCTTTAACCACTGCACTGCGCCAAACGACAAATGCCGTTCGCCAATTACCGCACCAACTGACAAAAGTATTTTTATATTTTTTTCGTACACGGTCAAAACGCGCTCATGGTAGGCTGGATACAAAATGGACTCTTGGGACCTCCAGTGAGAGGCAGCCATCTTGAAAAAAATTCCCAGAATGTCCTAGGGCTGCTGGCTGGGTTAGTACTGAGTGAGCAACCATGGGCGGTGCACACACTTCTGGCTCCCAAACACCTGTCCGACGCAGTGTTAAAAGATCGCTCTCTGTCGGTGAAATTCAGACCTTATTGCTTGAAGAACATAAGGGTCATGATATTGATGAAGCTAGGTGCAATAAGGACCTAACACAAAGGTCGGATGCAAGTGATACAGCACCTATTAGGATGATACAGCAAGCGTATCCAGTTGCAGCTCTGAGCACCACCCTTGCCCACCTTTGCCATCTCCAATTTATATACCAGTAGATGATACATAGATAAATCGTTCATGGATATATATATATATATATATATATATATATATATATATATATATATATATATATATATATATATATATATATATATATATATATATATATATATATATATATATATATATATATATATATATATATATATACACACTGTATATGAAATGCATAATCATAATAAAAACCTAAATTATTGGGATCTTCTCAAACCTTTCAAAATGTACTTTCTAAAAAGGAGATGAGACAGGTGTCACATCTATGTCTAGAAAATAAAATATTTTATTTTGTATTTATTTTTTTATCTTTGGAGAACAGAGCTTTTCACTGTGCTAGGATTTGATTATGTTTGATTCCCTGTTATTCTTTGTATTGGGTTTGACAGAAAATTGAATAGCCAACTTTCTACTTTACCTGTTATTCCTTTGGATCTCATTTCTTAAGGTATAACTCGAGAGTGGCACATTTGCTCACCTGTCCTGTAGCCTGCAGCGCTGAGGTAGGTGGCGAAGCTCCTGCGTTCATGAGTATCCTGCCACTGCTGGGACGAGCAGTTGTGGTTGTTGGTGTACACCTGCACAAACACAAACATCTTGAGTCCAAGGGCACGGGGATGAGTGACAGGGTCAGGGTGACAGGGTCAAGAGCAGGGTCAGGGTGACCAGGTGTAGGGGGAAGAGGGATGATGGGGAAATCAAGAGGATTTGGACCAAGAGGATGAGAGGAAGCTTAAGGATGAGGGGAGGCATAAGGATGAGGGGAAGCATAAGGATGAAGGGGAAGCATAAGGATGAAGGGGAAGCAAGAGGAAAGGGAGAAGCAAGAGGAAAGGGAGAAGCAAGAGGAAAGGGAGAAGCAAGAGGAAAGGGAGAAGCAAGAGGAAAGGGAGAAGCAAGAGGAAAGGGAGAAGCAAGAGGAAAGGGAGAAGCAAGAGGAAAGGGAAAAGCAGGAGGAAAGGGAGAAGCAAAATGATGGGAATGGGAAGCATGAGGATGTGGGAAGCATGAGGATGGGGGAAGCAAGAAGATGGTGAGGAAGCATGAGAATGCAGAAGGAAAGCATGAGGATGAGAGGGGACCAAGAGGATGGAGGAAAGCAACAGGATGGTTGGGAATCAAGGTGATGGGGGAGTAAGAAAGAGTATAAGGGAAGCAAGAGGAGGGGTGGGGAGAAAGAATGAGGAAGCAGGAAGGAGAGCACAACGAGGGAGTATACTGTGTTACACACCACCCATAAAATGCTTAAACATCATTAATTACATTGCAAAAGAGCTCACTGCAGGTTCCAGAGGGGCCCCTTTGTGATTGAGGCTTGGTTACTGTGGCTGGGGGGTTCATCATGCTTCCTGTGTGGTGGTATCTGCTCTCAACCACCTGAATGCCATTTATGGTATTCGTGGGTATACTTTGTTAATTCTATGACCCTGGTTTCTTGTTCCATGGCCTAGTTGTCTCATTTAGTTTGCAGGGTTATTAAGTTTAGCTAGAGTGATATCTATTCATGGGTGCATGATGTCTGAATGTTGGCAGCGCTGTTTGCCTTCTTTTCCAATACTTCCTGGGCAGATATTCGAACCCATAACTATCAAGTACTTACTGCTGCACTGTTCCTGATCAATGTTTCTAGACAGCACCAGTCTTAGTGCATTAGTTCATTGTGTCGGGGGACAGGCAGCAGTACATACATACAGTACATGTTAAGCTCATATTGAGGTCTCCCCAGGGTTGAATTACTGACCCTCCCCAGGATGCAACCTCACATCAAGCTAACTAGCTCCTAGTTATTTACGGTTAGGTGGACAGGGGCATTAAGTGATAGGAAATGCACCCAATCATTTCTGTCCCACTTGGGATTCAAACCCAGAATTCTTGATTGCGAGTCGAGAACAAATCCATCTGTACCACTTGGACCCTACTGCATTACCGGGTCTTGTATGGCATTAGGACATTTTACCCAACACTGATTCCCGCTGAGGTTATTCACATCTCCTCTCTTCACTTTATTCTGCTTTTTCTTTGTGAGAAGTTTTCTTCATGAAAAGTTTTCTTCATGAGAAGTTAGCTAGGGAAGCTACCAAGGAAGCTCCTTACAGAAATCCTGCATTAAATGTAATGAAATGCTTATTCTAGGTGGGATCCTTGGTGATCCCTGTTCTTCTCTTGCCCTCCTTTCCATGTTGCTTGGGAGTCATGTTTCTAGGTGGTGCATGATGGACTGGGGTGGCTGGCTGGGATCGTCAGGTTGCCGGGGCTACCAGTTGGTGGCAAAGAAATGTGGCTAACTAGGAGATGGACAAGGATAATGAGTGTATATAGTTTGCATCATGGTTGTAAATGTTGTCAAAAGCAATTACTGTACTTGTTCGGGGTACCCTTCCATTCTGGTTGATTTTCCTTTGGTGTTGTGGGTATCGTGGTTTTCATCTCCAGTAGATGCTCATGTTTATTTATTACCCAAGAATCAAGCAGATGAGTCACCTGAAGCGAGCAGCCCCAAAGAGCCAAGGACCAAGAAGAACCCCTGCAGTTTAAACAATGAATCACTGGAGCGCAGTCCGAATGGAGCCGGATCGTAGAGCCCCGAGTGATCCGATCCCTCCGCAGCAAAAGCCGAACCGCCACAAACTCCCGCACCGTGCTGTGAGCCCAACGGAAGGACAGAGCTCACCGTCCCTGGCTGGCCTGGTGAGCACTGGTCACAAAGCCCCAGCCGAGAGACGAGGCATCCGTGAACACATCAAGCGTGGGCTCGGGGAAGTCCCAAGGCACTAAACCCAAAAAAACTCAAAGAGGAAGCCGGCGACGCAGCAACTGTCAAACCCAGCAGTCGTGAGAGAGACGGAAGGGACGTCCCCAAAAGAACCAGAACAGGCACCAAAGCCAGACCTGACCCAGCGGGTAAACCAGAATGGCGAAGTTCAGACTCCCGCACAACTGTTCGAGCAACTGCTGAGTGACCCAGGGAATCCCCCCCAGGAACAGCTAAAGGTGGGACCACAGCTCCAGCAATGCTGCAGGAGGAAGAGACATGGAAGTGGTCCCAGAGTCCCACACATGGCCTAGCCAGGTCCGAACCTGGGATGGAACCAGATGGGATTTCCTGAAGGTAACCAGGAACCCAAACTCGGTGAGCTGAGAAAGAACCAACCCCTGGTGAGCAGACAAGCAGACCGGCAGGGAGCCCAAACCAACCAGTCATCAAGGTTGACCAACATCCGAATGGAATGTTGGCCAGAGAAGCAGAAGACGACGAGCCACCACAACCTGTGTAAGACGCGTGAAAACGTGAGGTGCCAGATTCAAGCCAAAGGAAAGGCAATGAAAGCCATGCCTCGCTACAAAACCTAACTAGTCCCTGAACCCCAGATGAATCGGGATGTGTCAATATGCGACCCGGAGATCCAGAGACACCATCCAACACCCCAGCTCTAAAAGAAGCCGGACCTGGGACAGAGTGGTCATCCAAAAGGAGGGGCAAGGAATCCAGCGGTTCAGATGGGACAAGTCCAGAATGAACCGAAGATCCGCAAAGTCCCATGTCTGGACTGGAAACAGGCGGGAAACCCGCCTGAGGGATTAGGTTGTTTCGACCACGCACAAGCGCACCCACTCCAAGATGACCCAACGAAGAGAAGGGCAAGAAACTCGAAGGAGGAGGAGCCGCCCAACGCCACCAGAGGCTGAAAGACATGACCCTAAATGCCCACAAATAGTGGGATCAAGTGTGGGCAAACAGTGCCCGCCTCTCCCCCCACCCCAACCCATCGCCCCGCCAGCCGTTGAGCCTAAGGGAACAACAACAACAGTTCCTAAGGAAACTGGCCTAAAACTGAACCCCATGTGAAATGAATAAGCATGGAGGCCTAGAAGAGGGCCACCAACAATATCTTAAGTAGACTGACTAGTCAAACCAGGCAGACCTCCTCCATGCAAAAACAAAAAACAAAAGAAAACCCCCACAAAAGTACAACAACAACAGGAGGAACAGGAAACACGGCTGCCAATACAGATATTCGTGCTGCGCAGCACCGTTGTTCCCCAACCAGCAACAATAACAACACCACCTACCCCAGGCCAAACAAAGGCCATGAAACCACAGCTGGCCCCAAGAACAGGGTAAATGCCAAGCAGCAGGAACCCCAACAGAAGTGAAGGCCCAAAGATTCTAGGGAAGGCAACCCTAGAACCCAAGAGTAGTACAGTAGAACCTCAAGTGACGACCACCTCAAATGGAGAGCAATATGGGTAACGAGAGCCCAGATCGCCAACAATTTGTCTCATTAGGCAAGCGCTCGTTTGAATAACGTCAACACTGCATGGTGGGGTCGCGCTGCTTCTCACACATTCTCGGTATGCCTCCGACACTGCAAATAAATTTTTTTTTTTTTGTTTAAAGATGCTAATGATGCTGGGATATAAAGGGGTGACTACTGTGATGCTGCAAAGAATTGACGTTTTTGTAGAAAGAAATGAAATTTTTTGAAAAACAACAAATATCAAAAAGGTTTGTTCAGTGTTCGGCAGGTAGATTGCTCCATGTTTCCTAATCCTTAAACCGTGCAAATCATATATATATATGCTTTCAGTGGCAAAACCGAAACCGCGCATGTCATATATATATGATTTCATGTCTACCTCTATAATTTAAACGCCCCGCCTGTGATAGGGGCATCTATAGTGCAGCCACGACCGATAGTTGCCAGATGCCACCTAGAAAAAAAAATCCAGGCCAACATTCTTGGGTGTGAGAGCGTCGGTATTGAGCAAGCCACCAAGGCTGGTGCACACAGCACGAGCTCACAGCACCGCTGTTCAGCTTTTGACCACAGCATCGCCTACAAATGCCATAATATATGTGATCATGCTATTATTTAGCGATGATAGTATTATAGAAGACCCCTGTGATAAAACTGACCAGGATTCTGATAATAGCAGGATTGTGGTGATATTTAGTGCTGTGCTCCATGGAGGGAGGAGTAAGGCTGTGGGAGGGAGGGTTCTGGCGTCGTCTTCTGACTGTGCGGCCACCTTTTATTAACTGCACTCACCATACCAGCTTAGTGGTTCGCTATGGTGAACACAAATGTAGATACTTATATATAATGTGTGTATAGAGTGTGATAACAGCAATAGGAGTAGGTTGGGAGCCGCCATTTTGGTGAGGGAGGTGCGTTGTCTGCACGACTTATCATGTTGTTTACTGGTGGCCACTATGGTCTTTGGGCACCATACCAGCTTATTTGTACAGGTATAGTGAATAAAACAGGTAGATACTTATATATAATGTGTGTATATAGCATAATAACACCACAAACAATATTGTTGGAGGAGAAATATTAGTGCATCTGGCCTTGAGGGCAGCCGCCACCAGCTGACTGTGTGAGTAGCTACGTCTTCGTGTCTTTACTCACTATACAAGCTTAGATGTACAGTTACTGTGAACAAAACATGTAAATACTTATATATAACATCTGTGCATAGTGGATAAATGCAAAAACAGTATTGTGGGAGAAGAATGAGGGTGAGTGAGGTGTTGAGGGAGGGAGTGGCAACGAGTGGCTGGCTGGTGTGTGGTGGTCACTCCTTGTTGCTTTTTGACTCACAATACCAACTTAGTGGCTCATTATGGTGAACAAAACATGCAAATACTTATATATAACCTGTGTATATAGTGTAACAACAGCAAAACAATTTTTGTTTATTGTTTTATGAACATAATAATTGAATCACTAATATGCACACCATAATTTTGAGTACAGCGATGGTTCACACATTTTATTATATAAATATATCACAATTCACTGTATTGAATAATATTACTGCAAAAAAAACTAAGAAAAAATCAATCAGAGACATTGAAATAATTAGGTAATAATATATTTGTGGCAACTGTCGCCTGACAGCTTGAGCGGAGTAGACCTCGTCTGGCGTAGGCTCTGTCAACGCCCCTTTTTTGCCACACTTCCCTACTCTATTGCGGCTAAAATATTCCACCTACTATTTTTTTGTTATTTTTTCCATGATCAGGGAACAAAAATGAACACTTCTATAAGACGAAAGAATTTTTTTGAATTTTTTTTTTTTTTTTTTGCGGCTGTGGGTGTTAAATCCATTTGGGCCCCTAGCGGTTTGAGGGTTAAATAAAAAAAAAGAAAAAGAAAAAAAAAATTGAAAAACAGAACAAATGTCAAAAAGGTTTGTTCGGTGTTTGGCAGGTAGGCTCCTCCATGTTTCTTAAATAAAAAAAAACAAAAAATAAAAAAAAATAAAAAAAATTTGAAAAACAGAACAAATGTCAAAAAGGTTCGTTCGGTGTTCGGCAGGTAGGCTGCTCCATGTTTCTTAAATAAAAAAATATTTTGTTATAAATAGTGAACATATGGCAATTACAGGTATTCGGAAATCTGAATTACTGGAAAATCCATACAGGTTTCCAAAATATATGATCCAAGTTTTGAGGATTGCAGAATATATTTAATCGGCATCTATAAAGCTTGGTGCAATTATACTTATTCATTGTAACATCATAAAAGGTACAAATAACCACATTCACATATCTACTCCAGTGGTTAGCACAGATGGTTCACAACTGCTTGGACTCAAAGAAACAGTCCTAGCAGTAAACAGGTACTGGGAGTTACCTGTAATAATTCCCATCCTGAAACAAAGTATACAGCCCAAGGAGGGTCTTTAAATGTCACACAGGCTTTCTTGTCTCCAACAATAAGAAACTATCTCACACAGGTACCGTTAACATATATAGTTAACCAATTAATATAATTTTTCTGTAACTGTGGCTAACCTCATGGTTGTGAATGTAGAGGCCGGTGAGCATGGAGGAGCGTGAGGGGCAGCAGATTGGGGTGGTGCAGTAGGCGTTGGGGAAGTGCGCCCCGCGATCCTTCATCAGACTCACCAGGGACGGCATGTAGTTCAGCGACCCTGTAATGTTAAGTCCAGTTGTTTATACTCTACCCACACCCCTCTCTACCCACACTCCTCTTTACCCACACTTCTCTTTACCCACACTTCTCTTTACCCACACTTCTCTTTACCCACACTTCTCTTTACCCACACTTCTCTTTACCCACACTTCTCTTTACCCACACTTCTCTTTACCCACACTTCTCTTTACCCACACTTCTCTTTACCCACACTTCTCTTTACCCACACTTCTCTTTACCCACACTCTTCTTTACCCACTTCTATTTACACTCCTCTTTACCCACTTCTCTTTACACTGCTCTTTACCCACACTCATCTTTACCCACACTCATCTTTACCCACACTCATCTTTACCCACACTCATCTTTACCCACACTCATCTTTACCCACACTTATCTTTATCCACACACACATCGTTACCCCACACTACTTCACACCTATTTACTTATACACTTTCTAACTTTTAGAATTGCTTTTAAATACATAGATGGTAAAATACTAGAGAAAGAGTAAATGTTAGATGAGAGCTGCAATATGCATCAGTTCTATGGTGCCCATATCTTAAGAAGCACATCAACAAACTGAAAAAGGTGCAAAGACATGCAAATAAATGGCTCCCAGAACTGAAGGACAAGAGCTACGAGGAGAGGTTAGAGGCATTAAATATACCAAAACAAGAAAATAGAAGAAAAAGAGGCGATATGTTCACTACATACAAAATAGTAACATGAATCGATAAAATTAACAGGGGAAGAATTCCTGAGACCTGGAACTTCAAGAACAAGAGATCATAGATTTAAACTAATCTAACTAAAGAAAGCTGGTGAAGAAATAAGAAAATTCACTTTTGCAAAGTGGTAGATGGTTGGAACAAGTTAGGTGAGAAGGTAGTGAAGGCCAAAACTGTCAGTCGTCATTACTTTGTCAGTAATGACAGAGTGCTTGGAAGACAGGACACAATGAGCGTAGCTCTCATCCTGTAACTACACTTCGGTAATTACACCTCATTACTCACACACCTTTTTACTCATACGCCTCTTAACCCACACACCTAGTAGTAGTAGTAGGTCGTCGACGGTGTGAGTGGGGTCTGCGAATAAACGTCAAATAGTCGGGACATTGCAATGATATAGAGGCTAGATCATAGTATTTGACTTCACGCAGTGTGCAGCAAGCAGGGTGCAACATGCCATAGTGAACTTGCAAATGATAGAACAAATGGAGTAAAGAAACCAAATTGGAGTGGGAACACATCGCTGGACGAGAGGAGATCCGCCGTGAAACTTGCCTAGCTTTGCTTGTGGAAACTGGCAAATCTGACGTCTAAAACAGTGTGGAAGGTTTATATAATATCATATTGTAATCACTAATGCATTCTCATTCAATGATAGAATATAATAGTAATCTTGACAGAGAAGGAGTCATTTAAGGAACCTCACTCATGAATTCACTTGGGAACTGGATACTGTGTTAATCTCTGGGGTCTCTCTCCACACTTCCCCCCCCCCCCTTCCGCTAAGAGATAAAGGCATACACACACAAAGGCTCTCACCCACATAACCACGCATGCCCTCGCAATCATACACACATACAAAACCCATCCTCACACTGAAATACACTGAAATGCACTGAAACACACACACACAGGTAAAGGTAAAAGGTTGAGGTTGCAGGTAAAGGATAATATTCAGAGGTTGAAAATGGGAAATAGATTCACTGTAAATGAAAAGGAAATGTGTGAAACACTAAACGAAAAGTTCCAAAGTGTGTTTGTACAAAATGAAATCTTTAGGGAACCAGATACAATAAGAATTCCAGAGAACAACATAGAGCACATAGAGGTGTCTAGAGACGAAGTGGAAAAAATGCTCAAGGAGCTCGGTAAGAACAAAGCAGCTAGCCCAGATGGCGTTTCACCATGGGTTCTGAGACAATGTGCATCTTAGCTCAGCATTCCACTTCACCTGATCTTTCAGGCATCCCTGTGTACAGGAATCGTAGCAGACGTGTGGAAACAGGCTAACATAGTTCCAATCTACAAAAGTGGCAGCAGGGAAGACCCCCTCAATTATAGACCTGTATCATTGACAAGTGTAATAGTGAAAGTATTGGAAAAACTAATCAAAACTAAATGGGCAAAACACCTAGAGAGAAATGATATAATATCAGACAGACAGTATGGTTTTCGATCTGGAAGATCCTGTGTATCGAATTTACTCGGTTTCTATGATCGAGCCACAGAGATATTACAGGAAAGAGATGGTTGGGTTGACGGCATCTATCTGGACCTAAAAAAGGCTTTCGACAGAGTTCCACATAAGAGGTTGTTCTGGAAACTGGAAAATATTGGAGGGGTGACAGGTAAGCTTCTATCATGGATGAAAAATTTTCTGACTGATAGAAAAATGAGGGCAGTAATCAGAGGCAATGTATCGGAATGGAGAAATGTCACAAGTGGAGTACCACAGGGTTCAGTTCTTGCACCAGTGATGTTTATTGTGTACACAAATGATCTACCAGTTGGTATACAGAATTATATGAACATGTTTGCTGATGATGCTAAGATAATAGGAAGGATAAGAAATTTAGATGATTGTCATGCCCTTCAAGATGACCTGGACAAAATAAGTATATGGAGCACCACTTGGCAAAAGGAAATTAATGTTAATAAATGCCATGTTATGGAATGTGGAATAGGAAACCATAGACCCCACGCAACCTACAGTATATATTATGTGAGAAATCTTTAAAGAATTCTGATAAAGAAAGAGATCTAGGGGTGGTTCTAGATAGAAAACTATCACCTGAGGACCACATAAAGAACATTGTGCGAGGAGCCTATGCCACGCTTTCTAACTTCAGAATTACATAGATGGCGATATACTAAAGAAATTGTTCACGACTTTTGTTTGGCCAAAGCTAGAACGTGCAGCGGTTGTGTGGTGCCCATATCTTAAGAAGTACATCAACAAACTGGAAAAGGTGCAAAGACATGCTACTAAGTGGCTCCCAGAACTGAAGGGCAAGAGCTATGAGGAGAGGTTAGAGGCAGTAAATATGCCAAAACTAGAAGACATGAAAATGAGGTGATATGATCACTACATACAAAATAGAAACAGGAATTGATAAAATCGATAGGAAAGATTTCCCGACACCTGGAACTTCAAGAACAAGAGGTCATAGATTTAAACTAGCTAAACACAGATGCCGAAGAAATATAAGAAAATTCACTTTCGCAAACAGAGTGGTAGACGGTTGGAACAAGTTAGGAGAGAAGGTGGTGGAGGCCAAGACCGTCAGTAGTTTCAAAGCGTTATATGACAAAGAGTGTTGGGAAGATGGGACACCACAAGCGTAGCTCTCATCCTGTAACTACACTTAGGTAATTATATGTTGGGGGGGGGGGCCTCGTAGCCTGGTGAATAGCGCGCAGGACTCGTAATTCTGTGGCGCAGGTTCGATTCCCGCACGAGGCAGAAACAAATGGGCAAAGTTTCTTTCACCCTGAATGCCCCTGTTACCTAGCAGTAAATAGGTACCTGGGAGTTAGTCATCTGTCATGGGGTGCTTCCTGGGGTGTGTGTGTGTGGTGTGGGGAAAAAAAAAATAGTAGTTAGTAAACAGTTGATTGACAGTTGAGAGGCGGGCCGAAAGAGCAAAGCTCAACCCAACAAACACAACTAGGTGAATACACTCAAATATACACACACACACACCCAACACCTCGACCTTCTCACCTTAGTGAGAAGGTCGTGACTGTCCCCACTGATCCATTACACACACACACACACACACCTAGGGAGCCGGTGGCTGAGCGGACAGTACACTGGACACGTGATCCTGTGGTCCCGGGTTAGATCCCGGGCGCCGGCGGGGCCTGGGATCACAGTCACTGACTGTGTGACTCCCGTTTCCTTACATGCAATGCGCTACATTGCGTTCATGTTGTCGACGGTTGTGTGTTCTGATTCTATTATTTCTTTTGAATTTAACAATTCCCTGCGCCAGATTATTGCCTACCCTGAAGCGTTGAGGCTTGTGAGAGATGTTGACCACTGGACACTAAGATCTATGGTAAAGTGGGAAGTGAAAGTGATATTGATACCTTACAAAGAGATCTATATGAACTCCACAAATGGTCAGATGCCTAGCAAATGCTTTTTAATGTCGATAAATGCAAGACCTTGCATGTGGGGCACAACAATCCACGTCGCAACTACCAAATTGGCAGCTCTACCTTACAACAGATAGATGAAGAAAATGAGGAAAAATTCTGACCTTGGAGTCAGAATCCATCATTTTCATCATATAGTGGATATATGGACCTGCGGGCCACTCCAAGCAACAGCCTGTTGGACCAAGCTCTCACAGGTCAAGCCTGGCCTCGGGCTGGGCGTGGGGAGTACAACTTCAAGAACACCATTAAGCAGGCTTTTGCACACACTTGGAGCTCATGGTGTGACTTCTATGGATAAAATCTATCAACCATTAGAGATGTGTAGGGTAATTGTATATTCAAAACAACCAGGTTCATTCCAGAAAAGATAGTGTTAGTACTCACCCAGTTCTACATCCTGGTCATCCGTCATGATCAACACAATGTTTGGGGGCCGCACGTGCCCGCCAGGAGACCGCAGTGGGCGGGGCGCTTTATACACCACCTTTTTCTTCTGCTTTTCATCAGTGTTCTCATACTGATGACCCGGTACTCTGGTGCTTGCTGTTGTTGCCTCATCTCTTCTGGCATTCTGGTGTTGCCACTGGGCATTATGGGGATTTGTGTGGTGTTGAGGCATGTTGCTCTGACGATGTGTAGAGGCTCTATGTTTGTGTATGTGTTGCTGTGTGGATGTTGCGTGGCTACTACCAGAGGTTGTATGCTCTACTCCATTATGTGATAATGAATTGAAGCCTCGATTATGCTGGACTTCACGTTGCCGATGGGGATATGATGTCTGATGTGCTGTAGGCAACTGACCACGGAGTTTCAAATAATTCTCAACTCTGCGCTGTGGCTGTCGATGATCTTCATTGGTTGTGCGTAAGTTGTTGTGTTGCTTGGACACGTACGGATGCCACGCAGTTCGTCTTGATTCTTGATGCCCATGTAAGGAAACATTTCTATGTAGAACTCGACGATCATAATCAGAGGTTTGTCTTGCAGTATTTTGACGACTATAGCCAAGGTTGTTTCTGATGGGGTCGTTTGAGGTCATGTGGTTTGAGGTCCCATGATGGGTAGTAATACTAGGTGATGAGTGGGACTGGCGACGCCCTGACCCATCCTCCCACCAGGCCCTGCGAGACGACATCTGAGACTGTGTGCTACTAATCTCAGGTGTGTTGTGCCGTCGCAAGTGCGCATCTCGGTTCCAGGAGGAAGCACGGAGATCAGGGGCAGACATACCGGACTGTGTGCCACTAGTCTCATGCATGTGGTGCCGTTGTATGTGCGCATCTTGGTTCCAGGAGAAAGCATGGAGGGCGGGGGAGGGTAATTCAGATTGTGTCCCACTGGTCTCTGGCGTGTTGTGTCGTAAGTGCGTATTTCGGTTCCTAGATGCGGCAGGGGAGTCAGGGGAGGGCATCCTAGAGTGTGTGCTGCTGGTCTCAGGTACATGGTGAGGGCGCGAGTGCTCATCACGGCTCCAGGTGGTGGTGTGGGGATCATGAGTAACTTGCATGCATGATGGAAGAGCCAGAAGCACCACGAGGGAAGCTCTCCACACCCACCACCTGCCAGCAGCCACAATATACGACATGGCTCGTGCTACTTCTTTCACAACCTCAACATTCCCTGAAACATAAGCAATCATTATTGTTTTTATTCAGTGAACAAATACCATACATCAGGTTCATTAATAGTCATAGCAATGTCAAAGTTCTTGATTTTATAGAGCAGTAAATGTTTTAATAGGGAAAAGGAAAATTATTAAAATAACAGCTGCATCTCCACTCACATTATTCTTCATATAAAGCTGCCTTTCACCAAGATTGTATTTTTTGGAGGTGTGAGCAAAATTCAGGATGAATTTTTAAATAAATTTATTAATTATTATTTTAGCATTATGTTACATAACGTTGATACAATTAGTTGTTCAAATAATTTCCATAATTAAATAATGAATCATATAGTATACATAATGTTAAAGCAAATAGTCCAAATGATTTACATAATTAAGCATTGAATTTATCATTTCTACGATGAACAAATCCACGGGAGCCTTGACGAGGGTTCGAACCTATGTGCTGAGTGTTCCCTGACACTCAGGGAACCAAGAGAAGACCAGAAGAGACATAATAGTAAGGTGGGGAACACGATAGGGGTTCCAGCAGAGCCTCCTCCATCAACAGTACGACTGGTGAGGAACCCCCCATCCCTGCGAGGGTAGGGAGAAGCATGGAGGGCAAGAGGGGGTCCTTCGTCCTGGGAGGAGCATGGCGGTTGCAGCTCGGATTTAGACAATGTAGGCATTTCCCTTCCAGCAACCTACCGACTTAATGATCCCTGAAAAGAGGTTGTTGCGCCGCGTCTGTGTGGCCCTACCAAGGCGGAAGGAGTGTGTTAAACGTGGGGCTTCCTTAATCCCAGGCATAGAGGAGAATTCCCTGAATATCCACTTCTTTAAAGGATTCAGCTCAGCTTGGGTATGTTTCCAAAAATCCTCTGTTCTAGCTTCATATGCTTCCCAGTCTATGGATTCCAAGTTGAAGTTGCTGACTATCAACAGTCGTGATCTATCGTTATCCGCTCTCGCTATATAATCTCTCTCTCATTATTGTTAGAAGACCCTCTCGTTTACTATTTACCTCCTCCTTTGACCATGTGCTGCTTGGCAGTGGACTATATGCATTTATGATCATTAGTTTATCATCCTCATGGCAGATCTCTAGTGCTATTACTTCAACTTCTTGTGGATTGGCAATCATTATTTTGTTCACCTTTAGGTGTTCTTTCACCAGCACAGCAACACCACCGCCTTTCCTAATTTTTCTGTCCCGTCTCCAAATTGAGTAGCTCCTTAGGAATATGACCTCACTGTGGTGTTTTGGAATGCCTTTTCCTTGTTAAAAGGATTCAATTCCATCGCAATTTTCGTGCCAACTCACTACCATTGGTCATGGGACTCCAAGACTTAACTTACTAAAGATCTTTCATTCACGGTGTAGGGGTATTTGGTCTACAGACAGGATCAGACAGTGCGAAGTGGAGGTTAGGGACTCAGTCCCGAGCTTCTTGCTCCGGATTATCTTTCTGGGCAGGCATCTGGAGTTCATTACAGTGAAGTTGGCCCTCTCCCATGCGTAGGGCACCTTTGGAGTTCTGTATAATCCTTATCTACTGGTAATGGCGAGGGAGCTAGAACACTATTTTGGCCAAATCATGGACACCTGCCTTGTCATGGGTGATTTCAACGCCAGGCACTCATCATGGCGACCGATGCTACCGAGTCGCCTCCTCAACATGGTCGGTCGAGACCTGTTTCAGTTTCTCCCCGATTCCCCTGACCTCTCTTTACTAACACAGCCAGATTTGGGAACCCAGATAATCTCGCTCAGTGGGTATACTTCCACACTCAATCTCTGGAATGGCAGAGACCCTTTACAATGGCAATATATAGATGGGGCCCCATATCTTGATAGTGATCACCTGTCCATCATCATTTCCTTCTGGGGTACTCTTCATCCCGCTCAGACCATGTGGAGATCTAAGTGGATCTTCTCGGAGGAGTGGGTTGGCTATGAGGTAGGTGACTGGTCGACCCTCCCCCCAGTTATGGTTGATCTACATGGGTCAGCGGATGCTCTCTCTGAATCCTCTCTTCAGTATAGGCTCTTGGCACTTACCTGTGTGATACCTGCTTGATGGGGTTCTGGGAGTTCTTCTATTCCCCAAGCCCAGCCCGAGGTCAGGCTTGACTTGTGAGAGTTTGGTCCACTAGGCTGTTGCAATGGAGCGGCCCGCAGGCCCACATACACACCACAGCCCGGTTGGTCCGGCACTCTTTGGAGGAAACACTCTAGATTCCTCTTGAAGATGTCCACAGTTGTTCCGGCCATATTTCTTATGCATGCTGGGAGGATGTTGAACAACCGTGGACCTATGATGTTTATACAGTTCTCTCTGATTGTGCCTATGTCACCCCCCCTGCTCTTCACTGGTTCTATTCTGCATTTTCTTCCATATCGTTCACTCCAGTACACTTATTTTAGTGTGCAGATTTGGGACCTGGCCCTTCAGTATTTTCCACGTGTATATTATTTGATACCTCTCCAGTCGTCTTTCTAACGAGTTCATTTGGAGAGCTTTGAGACGATCCCAATAATTTAGATGCTTTATTGCGTCTATGTATGTCGTATATGTTCTCTGTATTCCCTCTATTTCAGCAATCTCTCCTGCTCTGAATGGGGAAGCGAGTACTGAGCAGTACTCAAGATGGGACAGCACAAGTAATTTGAAGAGTACAACCATTATGATGGGATCCCTGGATTTGAAAGTTCTTGTAATCCATCCAATCATTTTTCTGGCTACCGCAATATTTGCTTGGTTATGCTCCCTAAATGTTTGGTCGTCAGACATCATTATTCCCAAATCCTTTACATGTTGCTTTCCTACTATGGGCAAATTTGACTGTTTTGTACCCGGTATTATGTTTAAGGTCCTCATTTTTACCTTACCCGAGTACCTGGAATTTATTAATGTTAAACATTACGTTATTTTCTGCTGCCCAGTTGAAAACTTTATTAATATCTGCTTGTAGGCTTTTAATGTCTTCAGAAGAGGTAATTTTCAAGCTGATTTTTGTCTAATCTGCAAAGAATGATACAAAGCTGTGCCTTGTATTTGAGTCCATATCTGATATGGGAATAAGGAAAAGCAGTGGTGCAAGGACTGTACCTTGAGGTACCGAGCTTTTAACTGTGCTTCGACTCTATTCTATATGGTTGACTGTTACTCTTTGTGTTCTGTTCGACAGAAAACTGAGCATCCAGCGTCCTACTTTACCAGTTATTCCCACTGACCTCATTTTGTGTGCTATCACTCCATGGTCACATTTATCATATGCCTTTGCAAAATCCGTGTATACTACATCTGTATTCTCTTTTTCTTCTAATGCCTCAGTGATTTTGTGGTAATGGTCATGTAGCTGTGAGAGGCATGATCTTCCTGCTCTAAATCCATGTTGGCCTGGATTGTGGAGGTCATTGGTTTCCATGAAACTATTGACCTGATTCCTGATCACTCTCTCAAATACTTTTATTATGTGGGACGTTAGTGCAACTGGTCTACATTTCTTTGCTAATGCTTTGCTCCCTCCCTTGTGTAGAGGGGCTATGTCTGCTGCTTTAAGCACATCTGATATCTCTCCATGTCCAAGCTTTTCCTCCACACTATACTGAGTGCCTGTGCTCCTGGCACTTTGCATTTCTTTATAAATATTGAATTCCATGAGTTTGGACCCGGGGCTGAGTACATGGGCATATTGTCAATTTCTCTTTCAAAATCTGTCACGCTCTTGTTGATATCAGTTATATTTACAGGGGTTTACATATCACACATAAACAAGTTGTCCGGATCTTCCACTTTCATGCTATTTATCCGAGTGCAAAACATGTTCCCATACTGCCTTTTTAGGATTTCACTAATTTCTTTGTCATCCTCAGTGAATGAACCTTCACTAGTATGAATAGGTCCAATACTGGCAGTGGTTTTTGCTTTTGACATAGCTTATGTGAAGAAATATTTTGGGTTTTTCGTTATTTCTTGAATTGGTTTCTGTTATAGTTGCCTTTCTTCAATCTGATATGAGTGTCCTTTACAATATGTATACAGTACAACGTTCATAATGTTCCATGGAACTGTGATATGTGTCAGTAATGTGTCCACAATAAATGTTTATTGTCGCAATAATACTTGTTAAAAATTCACTAAAATTACAATATGTACAGTTTCACACACTATTTACACAGTAACACACTGTATTACACACTGAGTACTTTGGAAGTGAGCAATAATCAATGAAGTAGTCCATGGTACACAGCGCGACTTCGCTCTCATTGCACCAAGTACAAATAGATTTTCTCTGAATGTTTCTTCGTTCTGTGTGCTTGCAAATAACGCACTGACGTACACCCTTGGCATTAGTACCTGTAGGTGGTATGTAGCCAAGTTTGTAAAATGTAAGGTACTCTCGAAAAGGTTACAGGAAAAGATCAATTTGTAAGGTAGTCGTGAAAAGATCACTTTGTAAGGTCCACACAGGAAGAGATTCAGCCAGCCTCAAAGAGTGTCCGTCAGTCTGGAAGAGATTCAGCTATTCTTGAAAATATCTATGGAAAACACCACCATGGACGCCGCTAACACTGTTCATCTATGCTACTTCTATCAGATGCTTCATCACTGAACGCAGAAAACGATTCATCTGTATCATCTAAATAAATTGGAGATAGTATGGGTGGCCAAGGGTGGCACTCAAGAGCTACAACTGGATACGCTTGCAGTATCCTCCTCATAGGTGCTGTATCACTTGTGCCTAGCTAGGACCTTTGTGTTAGGTCCTTATTGCACCTAGCTTTACCAATATTATGACCCTTATGTTCTTCAAACAATAGGGTTTGAATTTCACCGACAAAGCGGGATCTTTTAACGCCGCGTCGGACAGTGTGTGGGAGCCAGAGGTGCGTGCGCCACCCATAGTTGCTCACTCAGTACTAACCCAGCCAGCAGCCTTAGGGCATTCTGGGAATTTTTTCCAAGATGGCTGCCTCTCATTGGAGGTCCTAAGAGTCCATTTC